TTTCGTTATTTCTGTATCAGGCCAAAGACTTTTCAGCCCATGTAGTATGTATGGCATCTCCGCCGAACTCCGCAAATGGTTCACATGGGTGGTAGAACACTTTTAAATAGCACATTTCCATGATTTTTGTTTGTCACATTTATTCAATATAAACTAATTTTAAAACAATTTAAAATTGAATTTTTTAGATTGACTCGAAATAATTTGACATTTCATGTAATTTGTAAAATACACATTTTTAACAGTAAAGTCAGATTCATTTAGTTTTTTTTTTTTCAAAGTATGCAGACGAAATATAATTTCTAAAAACCACCTTTTCCGAGGTCGTCAAATTTCACTCTGGCCAATTCCATCCAGATTTGAGGATCTATCTTATTATGCGACATTCATGTTTGTACGGGAAAATCTGAATAAACTTATTCGGATATTACTCAAGTAATATCTCCAATTCTTTGATGTATTGAATGGCTTTCAACAGGATTTTGACTTTAGATGTGCGTTTATTTCGCTGTGAGATCGATGGAATGGTCAATCGAAGCTCTTGAAAAGCAATATTTATCGCTCTTACACGATTTCTCTCGCGAAAATTCCGTTTTTCAATCGCCAATGAGAATTTTTGATGCGTACAATCCTCTCCTCTCAGGCAATAATCTTTTAAATCTGTAAATTGGACAAGGTTTAAATAGGAGAAAAATTGGAAATTATTGTTTGATTTACCTCTTCCGAGCATTTTTCAATACTTTTATAATACTACAATTTTTCAAAATTTGTTATGTTTTAAAATGTTCCGAACCAAGCTAAACCCATCGCGGTTAAAAACTGACTGCTAACAAAATATGACGTTTAAGCTTCAATGTGAAGGCACTAGTGATAATACCTACCAGCAGCATTACACCTCCACAGTATTCTATAACGAATTTTCCTGGGTATGAATATTATCAAGTTCATTGTCATACCATGCAGCACACAACGGATGTCAGTGAAGCGCCACAAACCTGCATAATTTACCGCATATTCAGTCGTTCACCCAAATGGAACGAATTTTGATAACTTTACCGTTTCACTCGTGCATTATCAACGAAATAAAAGTGCACAATTGTTCTATTTTCATGGTTTTATTGATAAAATTGTCCCTAATTTAAAATCACAAATTCATTTTTTTTACAGTGATGACAACATGATCGAATGACTCCAAACACTATTTCGAAAAGCTATACACATATGATGATGGGCTTTGATCGAATCGAGAATAGTGGAATGGTATATCATTTTATGCTACTCGTGGTTATCTAAAGTGATTTTGCTTATTATCATTTGTCCAATGAAACATCAAAAATGTGTGTGAGGACATTCTAGTCTGTCCAAATGGTCTGTTTTCAGATTTGTATCAAATGTGCCATCGAACATGGAATTAAGACATTTATTTCAAAGCCAGGCACATTAAATGGTTAATTGAGAAAAGTACGTTCGAAGTGTGGGCTCTAAAAAGCTACTACTTGTTTATTATTTAAAAAAAAAAAGTAATGGTTCTAAAACTCTTTAGTTGCAAACTAACAAATCACAACAATATAAAACAGTCACATTTGGACCGATTTAAAGCGGTTTTCCTTGGCTGTAGGCTGTATTTGTCGGTAAAAAATTTGTTGTTGATCAACAAATCGTTTACATAAACAAAATGTTCTTTACAAAAATTGAACAAAACAAAAAACAACGATGACGTACAAAAATGATAACAAATGCTGTTCCGAATAGCGGCCGAACATCATGATTGAAATGACATTGTGCGCAACATTGGAATCGTTGCAGGCGATGGATATATATAAATACTTATCAATATATTTGCTACGATATAATGTACTTTTGCTCCTTCTTTGATTTGTATTTGATTCAACTACAACGGATGACTGATGCTCCGTCGTCATAGTTTATGATTCTAATCAAATGGTGATGTGTTTAAATCGGAATAAAAATATTGGTATGCATGAGATTTGATTGTTGCTGTTTAGCTTGGTCCAAGATTTAGATTATTACAGCAATTGCTTGTCGTTTGACTCAGTAAATTCGCTTTGGTTCCTAAATTCGATATTCCACCGGTTTCGCTACGTGGTACCTGCATTTTGATGGAAGAAGTGATGTAAATTAGTAAAGAAAAATTCGAACCATTGAATTAAAGTCAAAACGGAGACAAATATTTTGTCCATAATCTGGTAGATACCTCTTTTGTGCGTGCCTGTTCAATGAGTTCAGCGGCAATTTCATAAAATAATCGCTCAACATTGTCGGCTTCTTTGGCTGACGTCTCCAGGAAATACATGCCCTGTTGCTTGGCAAATTCCTCACCAATTGCCATTGGTATTTCGCGGTCATCACGATCAGTTTTATTGCCCACCAAGATTTTTAACACCTTTGAATTTGCATATTCTTGAATTTCCCGCAGCCAATCGGGTAGACAATCGAATGTCGGCTGACAACTGATATCGTAGACTAGAATCAGAGCATGTGCTGAGCGATAGTAACTGTAACGTAATTTTCAAAAACGATTCAATAAGAATAATTTTCTCGTTGATTGAAATTTTGTTTTACCTTTGAGTAATTGATCGGAATCTTTCTTGACCAGCCGTATCCCAAATTTGAAGCTGGAAAGGGAAAAAAAGACATTGAATTTTGTATTCAACGTTGCAAAAGTTGTGAATTACTCGTGATTTTAACTGAACAATTTAGCCACAACTTACTTTTATTTTTTCATTATCAACCACAACGGTTTTAATCATGAAATCCACTCCAATCGTAGCCCCTTGTCCCGGTGGAAAGACACCTTGTGTGAAACGACGCACTAAACACGTTTTCCCTGTGACGAAAAAATGTATTTGTTGGAATTCATTTGTTTTCATTCTAATGCAGCTCATTTCAACTGTCAAAACCTACCAACACCGGCGTTTCCAATTAGTACAACTTTGAATAAGAATTTATAGTCCTCCATTTCATATCTGCGGAAAGAGAGAGAAAATTCAATGAATTGAAAAAATTAATAAATTCGAAAATAAAAACCAAACAAAATTCAAATCTGCCGCCAGCAGCGAACTTGTGGTTGTTTCATGTAATAAAAGTACGCAGCCAGTCAGAGCTTCAACATTTTGACATTGGCAGCGCTGTCTGTACTGACACATTTGAAGTTTCATACATTTAACGGACTGAAAAAACATTCGATTACAAGCAACACAGTAAAATAGTTAATTTTGTTCTGATTTTTTTATAAGATTCCCCAAAAGTTCCCACATAAAACCGATATTTTTGCAAAGATAATCACAAAAATGCCAGGCGTTAGCGAAAATCCAAACTATTACTTTTCGGAAAAGGATCGCAAAGCAAGTTTCAAGTCTTGGCCATTCACCGAACGTCATGAATGTAGCATCACCAAGGTTGGTTATATACATTGTTTTACTTTTATAAATTGAAGGTGTAATATTTGCTCTAAAAACATTATTTCCTCCATTTTTTCGCGTTGAATCAATTTCAAGCAGTAAATAAAAGAGAAAAAAAATATTGAGAGAATTCATTTTTAAATCATGTTTCAGATGGCAGAAGCCGGTTTCTATTGGTGCGGTACGATGCAAGAGAACGATGCTGCAGCTTGTTTTTTGTGCGGCAAAGTGTTGGATGGATGGGAATCAACCGACGATCCATGGTCGGAACATAAAAAACACTCGCCACAATGTGCTTTCGTGAAATTTGGTCGTCCAGAAGACGATTTAACCGTAAGTTCTCACCATTTTCCATTCAGATCAATAATTCATTGTCGTAAAACGATTTATTTCATGTCGAACGAGTTCTAATATTTTTATTGGTGTAACACACACAGGTTGGCGAACAGCTTGATTTGTTGGATCTTTACGTGCAAAAGGTGTTCGATAAGAAATTGGACGAAGCAATGAAAGTGCTGACCGAATTGGGAAATAAAGCACGTAATGCCATTCAGACAAAATTGAAATCGAATGATTGAATGCTGCCGCTCTTTGCTCACCACGCGCAATGCTGAATCACAAAATCCATATTTTATCCATACATTTCTACCATGAATAAGGAATATATTTGATCATTAATTTTAGGAAGAATATTGCATACTGTTGGTTGATTGGCAGCTTAAGCCACTGCCTACAACGATGATTTTTGTTCATTCACATCACAGTTACGAATAAAAAAATTGTAAATCATGTGGAGTAATACAAATGTGGTGTTTTTTTCATCAAGTCTCGATTTCTGTTTTGCAATAAGCGATGGCATGAAAGTGATTTGTGATTTTTACTTTTTCAATCTCGTAGATAGAGATTCATAGCTCGTTAAGCGGAATGCGGTAACATTAGTCATCACACCACTCATCATCAATCAAAACCCAAGAATTGTCATAGTTTCTCAAGCAAGAGGTCGGCTCAACCACAAAAATGCTTTCGACTCAAAACACTCGAACTTCGAGTGTTCGAACAGTCGACCAAAACTCTAGCCTTCGGTAAGTAATGAAGGAAATGTCCATTAGAGCCATTTCCATCGTTTGGTGATACTATTCAGTTTAATTCGAATAATGGATACCATTTCGTCGGAGGTCGTTTCGTTCGTTAGTTTTTCTTGTTTTGATGGATATTATGTCATAAATGTAATTTCGCCGTCGATTTTTCGCACATTAGCCTGATAAGATTGTGTTGCAACGCTACCCGTTACAGACTGCCCGTACTGCCTGTATGTGTGTGTGCGAAAAATTATTAAGTGACGAGTAGCAAAGTGGAAAATGAAAGAAAATGGATGCAAATTGATGGTAAATTAACTTTTATGCCCATTCCGTTGGAGTAATACCGCTTGAGACATAACTCCGACGGAAATGGAAGAATTCATGATAATGGTAAAGTTGTTATCCGTCAACGGATAGGGTTACATCAGAGATGTATCGTAACACTCATCTCAGTTTTCCTCCATTTAACTGACAGTCATTGATTTTCTGGGGCATTTTCTTGAAGTGCCAATCAGATAAATGCTGCCGATGAAACGCAATTTTTTCCTTCCAATCACACACAGTGCAATTGCGTGAGCGGAAAGAAGTAATGTTCTGTATTTATGAGTTGTTATCATAAATTATCAATCATAAATAACAGAAATCTCCGCTTTACACATCCTTTGAATACATCATTTTTTCATGTGAGTATAATAAATTGGTGTCTCGTATTTTCTCCATTTCCTTCCGACTAATGAATATTTATGATTTCTTTTCCCGTCGTTGGAAGCCCCATTTCCATTCAGTGCATAGCGCGGTTGTTCGAATCGTAGCGTGCGATATCGATTTTTTTTGTTTCATTCATGGCAGGGTTTCCCTCTATCCACCATACAGCGAACAGTGCATTGACATATGTCGCCCATTTAATTGGATGTGTAAGTGGTAAAACCACCATACTAATCGAAAATTATTGATGAGCACCGCCGAATAGACCGCCAATGCGAATGATTTGTTAGTTCTAGTCATGTGAACGCAGCAGGTTCATTTATGTAACCGACACCCACTCGAAATATATTCATATATGCACAAAATGTGCAATGAATCTTCTCTTCATGTTTATGTTTGGTTGCGTGCACACTGCACAGTCAGCTAATGAATAGACCACGAAGTGGATGATGGCATTCATTAGTGCTACAATGACAAACACACCTTCATTTGCTTTCAGCAGTTTGTGTCTATTTATAATCTCTTCCATGCGAATACCATATTTTATAATGCGATTGGTTTTATCAATGCCATTATGGCGCAGCATGTACTCGGTGTAGCGCCATAGAATATTTAATCATTTTATGTCAAGTGAAAATGCACGAATCAATTACGACCACAATTCAGGTTCATTTGAAAATTCCGACTCTCTTTTGGCAACTGCAGCAGCACACTCTCATGGATTATGTCTGCTTTTGTTAAGTGGTTTCGGAAAAGAGGTCATCCAACACAAATTGAATGAGACTTTTTGCAATTTTGGCCTTGATGTCAAACCCCATTTCAAATGCTTCTCTGTGTCTTTTGCTCGTGTTTTTTTTTGTTACGCTCTTTTTAATTTGGGACTTTCGCCAGTGCCACAAAATTAGATCTCACAATACATGGAAAGAGACTTGCTCGAGCAATTTCCGAGAAGGCTAGCGTTTTATGACTCTGTCTCATCATTTTATGGGAAAATATAATATTTTTCATATTACATATAATATAAGATGAGCATAAAAGTTGTTCTGGAATTGGCAGAAAACGCGCGGTTAAGAACCGAAATAAAAGCGTAATCCGATTGAAGAGAAGCGACCCGTGCGGGAATAAGTGTGCATTAGATTACAATAGAATTGTAATTAAGTCGAAAGCACGAAGGATATGCGTCATAAAATCAGTTATTGTTTCAGTGAATATGCTACTCATTAAAATGGTGTGTGTGTGTATACTTGTTCGATAAATATGCGAATCACATTCAAATTTTGTTGTTGTTGTTGTTTGTTTCGTTTGTGTTTCATGTCTTGAAATCGATGCCATGATGTAATCAGCGATAATAGACGGTGTTGTAAGCAATGTGTCGAGTATGTATATGTGTGTATGCTGGCTGATGGCAGGTGACGTGATGATGACACTATTCGCTGTCTGCAATTGAGCCACAGATAAATATTTTACATTTCTGCTTCAAAGCATATGTATTCGGCATTGCCGACTGAATACACCCATTTATCTATCATCATTATAACGCAATATTTTTTTTATTTTACCAAGATCCCATTCTCTGGTTTAGATTCAACAATGTGTTGCCGGTTGATAATAATATGCCGTCGGCGACAGAATGGAATTTCGTTGGTGACTACATTTTCACAGTATTTTCTGCAATTTTTGTAATCACTCGCACCAAACCATTGTGCACATGTGTGACGAATAGCATCTGCAGCACGAAAAACAACCATTCTGACAATGTGATTCCGTGAGAGACGAGCACACAGAACACGAGAAAAAAAGTGTGTGTTTCCATGAACTATTTTCCGTTGTTAAAAATTCCACTGAACATAAATTACCCAACAGTTCATATTTTTTTTTCTCCCTCTCGCTCCCTCTCGCTCGCTACTAGCTCGACTTTAATTGAATTCCTATTCTCTCGAGCATATTGTTTTTAAATAACAGTATTTCAATGGCATATTCCATTTCCGCAGTGCGAGTAGTTTTTTCTGCTGCAATGTGCATATATTCATAAACAACAAATTATTGGCAATGTTTGTAAATTTTGGTTTGATGCGATAAAAAGTGGTAAGCATATTCAAAAGAGATCACAATCCGTTAAGCCCTATGTTTACCGAGTTTTTTTTTCTGCACACACATGATGAATGAAGACTTTTCTCATCCGGAACTTTTAAATCGATTTTTTTTTCTGTCTTTGTTGCAAAACTTGAAGAAAGAAGAATGCATTCTATTGAAAATAGATAGATGGACTGAAATCGCTCTGCTTCATAGGAGTAAAAACAAATCTCGCTTATTTTTTTTTGCTATTTTTCAAGAAGTTTAGAAGAAGAATTGTTTTTTTTTTGGGTGAAAAGTTTTCGATTTGTCGTGGTTGACAGAGATCACTTTCTTATTCCCTGGCTAGAACTTGTATGCCATTTTGAATTGTCGGTAAAGAGCATGAAATCGAAATGTACAACTGAGGCGAAGACTGCCAAGTATTAAGCTCACACATTACATTCACAAGAAACAATAACAACAACGACAGTAACAACAATTGGGAGGGAAACAACAGAAAACTTTTTCTCTGTGTAGCTTTTTTTTTCGTTGCCAGAATGAAAAGTCTCGATTCATTGTGAGTATAAAAAAAACGAAGTTGGTGTAGAATTTCTCCATTGAAACTAGATCAAGCCAAATTCTGCAAGCAACACACGTCGTAGTACCTAACACAGAGCAATCAAGCTATTTGTTCGGTTAAATACGAGAATAATCAAAATGATATTCTTTGGATTTGTCGACGCTTCTCTCTTTCCCTTGTGTTTTTGTAGTATGTTTGCCAAATGGAGACAGAGTGCTGTTTTTTTCCATTGCCAAATTGAAATGAAGCATGAAAGTTGGAATGGATTTTTTGCACTTGATTCGTTTTTTTCTCTTCCACCTTAAAACAACTACGATAATTTCTGTCAATAAAATGTATGAATGGGATTGAAGTGGAACGCTTAATTGAGATAGATAGGCTACATTAGCTATGGAAATCGAGATGGAATCTCTTCGCGGAATGAAAAATTTCCATCTTTTTCGAAGAATTCCAATGATTAAAGACGCTAATTACGTTTGAAGTGCATGCATCAAATTATAGGTGTTAATGCTTTAAGCGATTTTTCGTTCTGATTTACACGTCGCCAAAACACCACAGCAACACTGGGCTGATGAATTACTTTTGATGTACGATTTCATTCTCATGCCGGTTGTTTATTCAGCAGAGAGATTGTTTTCATTCCAATTCGAAATTCGTTGGTAATATAACGTAACGGTGAACTGCGAATAACAACAACGAAAAAAATTTCTAAAAAAAATCTCATCGCTCATTTTCCCCTCATCATTGCTTTTTTTTCATTTGCCATGAATGATGTGTACGCGCGTACCGAGCATGGTTGTTGTGTATATGAAAAACAGAGCGAAAAGCACGCACCTTGCCATAGCCAAGTAATGAGCGATCATTCCGAGAGTGTACGATTTCATAGCGTAACATTCGACTATCGAATTTAAAAAAGAAACAACACTTTGTTGTATATAGGGTCAATGTCGGTTAAGTAATTCTTTCGCCTTCGTTTACGCATCGCAAGCCAAGTGCGGTTCACACGTAAAGTAAGACGAGCTGCCTGCCATGGATTCGGACGGAATTCCCAAATAATAATGGAACAGACCAAATGGCTGAATAAAATATAATTATATAATAATAACTGCTAAATATATCTAGCGACTATATATATATATATATGCGTAGCATGGCCAGCCAATGTGCGATGTTGCGCCAGTGAATAAATGAATTTTGATAATGACGCGCCTAACGATGCTTTGGTTTTGGTCGGTTTTTTTGCGTGCATTTGCCACATTTTGATGGGCAATGGGCATGATGCGAAGCATAACCAACCGAAAATATAATAAATTCATTTAGCTGATGCACGTGTGCGTCGACGGCGAGTACAAAAAACAAGGCAATATTGACATAATTAGAGCCGAACATTTTTGGGTGGATAAAATTACGAAAACACTTTGACTTCTTTGCAATTCAAAAAATTTGGGCTATTTTATGAAGGTAAGTAAATTGCATTGTTCTCGAGGGAAATGCCACTCACCAATCGACACCATGTATTTTGTTTGCCGTTGTCACACCCGCATATATAAGCGGCAACTATGGTTGCAATGAACAAAAAAATAAACTATTCCAATTCGATTACATTCAGGGTGTTTCAATGAAAATTTACGATACCCGATCGGCATATTTCGGTAAGTATATTATGCATGTTTTACGCAATTCCCATATCTCTGGTTTTGCTTGAAGCAACCGAGACGGTATTCATTCACTCACCACAAACAAGGGAACCAGCTAATTTGATGTTAGTTGTTCCGTAGAAACGATGCAAATGGTAAGGTTTCTTTACTGTCACATGCCATGCCACGGACCGGAATGGGTTGAAAACTCAACAGCCCAATCAATAGCATAGTACAAAATACCAAGCATATGTCAATAATTATCATTCAGAATGCTTTTCTATATCATGTTCCGCTTCAATGAGGCCCTTTGAAATATAACGAAAAATATTCGAGTTCTTAACCGACAATTGACTCTGTTTATGGTATTAACTTGTATTTACCGTACATAAGGCCATAGACTAGAAAGGAGACGCGCAGAGAGAGGGAGAGAGAGAGATAGAGAATGGGCAGAAAGCGGACGATTTCAAGAGCGAATGAAAAATGTTATTGTTGCGGTGATAGAAATAGAAACGAATAAAATCAAAAGTAAGGGTATGATTCGTTCATTATAACATTTTAATTGGCACATGAATTCGTGTATCTGTATAGTTTAGTCGTTTTAATTATCATTTACGTGTACGGGCCGGACCGTGTTCAAGTACAACAAACTTTTGCTGCAACAATTTCGAAATGTGTGTTTGTGCATTGTGCACACTGTGCATACAGATGAAATAATGCAATAAATACGAGCAAAAAAAAAATTGAAACACGCATTGACCATGGCCAGTTAGTATACATGCGTGACTCATGCTGTAAAACTCATCGATTTCGTATGGAACGCGCGAGCTCGCGCAGCGCTCTTTCTCTCGCGCTGCAATAAATTGCAATGCATAGGCGTTTTTGCACATAGTTAACGGTTAAGTGGTGGTAATTTTCGGCCACAAAAAACACTCTTCAACTATGGAATCAATTGGGCGATAGAGTGAGAGCACTAGATGTTGAAAGTTGATTTTATCAGTGAAAAGACATAGAGTAAAAGAGACTTTTACTTTTTTTTGTCGGTGCATTGATGTAAATTATGCTGCGGCTAAACAATGCTACAAAATGCGATCACACAATCCACTCACAGTTCCATTTGCTCAAGTACACATTTCACAGATGAAGTATTAAAAACAATGCACACATGAGGAAAAAAACACACAAATGCTGACAAAACAAACATTACTGTGGTGGTTTATTTGTTCGTAAAAAGAAGAAAAAAAAACAGCGAGCAGAGCCTTGAGCACAGATCAACAACACATGATTCTGCTGGCGAAGCAGCAGCAGTAGCAGCACTATTCGGTAAAGGTAAAATACTTTAATCGAGTTACTGCTTGCATAATTACATTGAACATTTGCATCGGCCACGTGTTCCATTCGTTCAAAAAAAACCACTTGAGTTTGGTGTTCGATAAGTGTAATTTTCAACATGATTCTTGATTACGTTATAAAACTCAATTATATGCTTTTAATCAATCATACGGTGGTGTGGCTGTCTGGTTTCGATTAATCTGGTTTCGATTTGCCCACGCGTTCTCTAAATGGATTACCGCTTAACTTGGTAATCGTGAAATAACAAATTGAAACATCAACATTTTTTTCATGTTCGAAATGTGTTGCAATCAGAATGTTGAATAGAAAAAAAATGCATGAAATTGAATAAAAAAAGAATGCAAAATATATGTAAAAGAACAACAATTTGTAATCAGGTTATCGCAGCTTGAAAAAAAGTGAATAGCAAAACTCGTACCTTGTACTTTGTTTCGTATGCGAATCAGTGAATAGTGTTATGCTGACAAAGTTCACGAAGATGTGTATTTGATGCGACTACTATTTGTCTCTTGTGTCTCTCCCTCGTCGAATATATTCGCATGTAGCACAATGTAAATGTGAATATTCCCAATGACTTTTATCACTTGATTATGATAATATAGCTTAATACGATAGTATTATTCTCGTCGCTTTCGGAATCCCACACACTTGCACTACCAAATGTCACTGTTTTCTTGTTCCGTCGTTGCTATAAGCCGCATATAATACGCACATAACACACAATGCTAAATACACACAACACGAATTGTCAACCCCAAACCAAAAATAACAGAACCGAACAATTTATCGGAATAAATTTTTCCGTCGTCGTTGTTGTAGTCGTCGTCGTGGGGGTTGTATGTTCAAATTTTCTTTTCAAAGTTGTTGAACGCTTCGAATGAAAAATAGACCTATTATAGTCAGATTCAAAGTTCAGAATAAACACACACACACACACACATAGACAGATTAAGCGATTCTTCTATCACATTCGTCGAATTTATATCAATTACGCTGGGGATTTATCGGTTTTATGTTGCAAATATGATGATGATTATCGGAATTTTTATCACCCTTCAAAATGAGTTTCCTATGTGTCGACAACGATGGACAACGCTACGCTACGCTAGCTGGCTGGTCGCTCTATGTCTATTCACAAACTCGTTTGCTATCGAATATGGGCAATGTTTTGTTATTAGTTTTTCCAATAAAACTGTGCGGCGGCTCTTCATCACCCATAAATAATGGAACAATGAACTTGTGTGACGTTATCCGGTCCAGTAAATCTTAATTGAATCAATGAAATCGTTGTCACAGTTTTGTCCATCAACATTCGTTTGGTCGTGGTTTCATTCACAAAATATCATGTTTCGTCGTTATGTCGTTTGAAAGAGAGAATAAAAAAACCCTGAAAAACCTTCACCTTAGTTTCAAAGTCGATGAATTCGGTTTTTTTCTTCAATATTTTTGTTTATTTCAATAACAACCCATTCAAAAAATGGCAACCAATTAGCTTCTCTTTATAAACATTTGAACTTGTCGTGAGGAAACTTTTCAACTCACTTTCGGTAGCACTTTTCAATATATCACAAACTCAACTAGAGTAGAAAAAAAATCAATTAGAATTGTTCACCTAAAAACCACTTCGGTAGCTAGACTTGTGTCGACCCACCACTGATTATGTTCAATTTTTTTTTCTCTTTATTTTTGGAGTGCGCTGTTTTTCATTTGCGGTTGTCGCTTATTTTAGCCACTTTTGCCGTGATGATCCTATCAAGTAGGTATTACGAATGTTTTAGACGCTTTTGAATCACTGTCAATTTTATAATATCTCTTGTATGTTTTTACACATTAATTTTTGTGTTTTCTTTTAAAATCTATGACTCAATCTCGGTGCCGCTCTATTTTCATTGGGCAAATCGCAAAAATGGTCACAATACAATAACTGAGATGAATACGCGTTTTTTTTCTTCTGAAAACATTCGCCACACATTTGTACAAATGACGAAATGAGAGAGACGAAATCGCGTGTGACACTCACAACTCGTAAATAAGTGTATGAGCTGATGAATGCCGTGTGTACACTGATGATACACACTGCGATGGAACTGAGTGTTAACCCACACTCAGCTAGTTGAAATAAGCAGCCTTGTCAATTGTCCGATCTGACGTTCTCTCTTCTTTGTCGATATTTTTTAACTAGACTCCACTAGGAGTTTTTCGTCGCAAATTTCTACGATTACTTCGGTCGTTGTTATTTTTTTTCCGGTTGGTTTTGTTTAAACAAAAAAAATCAGCTAAAAGGAAAACCCGAACCATGCGCACAACTGAATCCAACTAAATGGCAATCGCCACTGTTTTCATCTTGAACTCCCCGCGCGCTCAGTCGGTCGCTTGCTCGCTCGCTGCTGCTGAGAGCGAGAGAAAGAGAGACACGTTTGCGTGTGTATTTTTCGAATCGAATAAGTGTGTTTTCCCCCCATTTCTATCTGCTTCATGTGCTGCCATACATAAATAAAGGTACAACAGCAACAAGGCAACATTCGTTTACAATATTCAATTTGATATTTCTCCGTTCTCTCTCACTGTGTGTTTCGCACGCTGTCGCTTCGCTCACTACTCGCTCCGCACCGTCTTGTTCCGTGCTCAATGTGATATACTTACCCAACGTATAATAATATTTTTCATTCCTTCTCTATGTTTGTAATATTTTTGTTGGATCGTGTATAATTTACGTACGGTTAGTAGACGTATATATGAATTGGTTGTTCCGCTCATCAATGCAAAACTTCAAAATTTGAATTGCTTTAAATGCTCACATTCTATGCCATAACGTAAACAACTTTTTTTTTATCTACGCCATACACACATTGCGATATAATCATAAAAAAAAGTATAACTTTTTTGTTCGAGAATGACTCAGCGATCGACATTCGTGAGTTTTGTTTTGCTTTTTTTCGACGTTTATTTCGACAAGTTGTTTATTTTAGGCACTAAACTACTCTGTACCCAATACTTAATCGACGATGGATTCGCTTTTATCTTCAAAGAGTTTGTATTTACTTGTCCAAATGCTGATTTTCGACAGCGCAAAAAAAAGAAGTCACGTTTAAGCGAGTCTTCAAAGCACTTTCCATATTTTTTCCGCTAAAATAATAATCGATTCTCAGTCAATCTATATACCAAATACATAAACAAACAAGGCCAAGTGTGTTTTTCCATTTGATAACATTTATTTTGAAATTTTGCGTCTTTGATTGAATAAAAATACAGACATTTATATGACAAGTACGTGAACGTACAATTTGATACGACTGATTCGGATGAGCAATGTATTATTATTGGTATTATTTTTCAAATGACACCCATAGAATGAAAAAAGAACTTCTGAACTCTTTGCCGATAAATGAAACGAAAAAAAACTTCGAGCAAAAAAGAAACAAATGAAGTTGCGAGCAAAAGTGACACAAGTGGGCATTGAGCGGAAAACACGTTTTTCTCATTTTTCTCGCTACTGGAAAAAGA